TAAAATAAATCTTATTTGTCATACTTTGTAGCAATAGCAACAGAACCAAATGATAAATATATCTTCTTAGATTGTCAATTTGACCCAATATTTACTCTGATTTTAAAAAATGAAAACACACACATATATATTATGAAATAGAATACAAAATTTGAATGGACTTTAAAGAGAAAAGAGGAGACTACATGAGCATAGAGTACTTTCTGGGAACTTCTTTATTGTTACCTTGATGCTCAGGGGTTTGTCAATAACTGTTTTCTGCTATAACTGGTACTTCAGTGGAAAATTATGAGAATCACTTTACCACTTCATTTGTTCCTTCATTCTCATTCATTTAACAATTATTATTTGAGGACCAGATGTTACGCTAGGTTGATGCCACATAAAAGATAAAATAATGGGAATATGGACAAAGCACTATAGTGAACACAGGAGAAGGATCCCAATATCAGCTTAAGAAGAGTCAGGGCAAGCTTCACAGGTGGTAACTTGATAGACAAGGAGTTTGATGGTCAGAGAGAAAGAGAGGAATTGCCAGACAATTTTTAGTTATCTATTGACTATTTGGATATTCTCTTTATGTCAACAACAACAAAAAAGGAATCCCAGAGAGCAGTAGCTCAACATTACTGGAGCATCAAATACAGGGAAGGGTGGGTGAAAAGGAAGGAAATGATGAGAAATTATAACTACAATATGTTTTATTGAGCACTTACACATCAGGCACTGTGTTAAGTATATTTAATCCTCAAAACACTCCTAGGTGGTAGGTACTATTAATACCCTCCACTTTACAGATGAGGAAACTGAAGCTTAGAGAAGTTAAGCAATCTGTTCAACATAAAGATAGGTAGGGGCCAGCTCATAAAAGGCATTTTCTAAACACCATGCAATAGTTTTGATGTTATCCACCATGCCACAGTTAAACAAAATACCAATACAAAGTATGCCACAAAGAAGTTTATGGTGAATATAAATAGCTGAAAAAAATAAGTACAAGTCCAGAGCTTTCTATGGGCTGAATGGTTAAGACAGCTTTATGCAGAAATTGGAATTGAGCTGGGCTGTAGTGAAGTGTGAGGAATGGACAAGACAGAGAAAGGACTGTGAGCAAAGGCTGCACAGTCACTGAGAAGTCTATGGAGGCTAATATGGTAGAAGATAGTATAGTCAAGAAAACAGGGAGTGATTACAATGGAAGGGAAAGTCAAAGACAGATATGGGAGGCCCAAGGAGCCAAATGAGGAGCCCATTGGCAGTAGGAAGCCACTCAGGAGTTTTTGAGCAGAATGGTTGGTGAGCTTAGGATGAACCCAAAAGACTCTTACACGAGAAGAGAGGCTGTTGGGGAAGGCCTATAAGCAAGATGATGAATGACTATATGAGTAGGTATTACATGGACAGGCTGGAAGAAACAGTGGTTCTTTGGAAAGCAGAGTATCATACTGACTAAGAGCACAGGCTATGAAATCAGATTGACCTGAGTTCCAACCTGACTTTTTAGAAGCTCCAGTTTAGTCATCTAGAAAGTGGGGATAATACCGTCTAATTCAGGTTGTCAAGTTTAGATAAAATGACATAATGTGTATGAAGCATTCAAATAACAAAGGTATATGCAGTGCTTCAAATATACTAAATCTATTAACTTCCTGCTCTCAATGTTGCACCTTAGTACAAGTCCTATATCATTCCTTCTAACATTCAGAAAATACTGAGCACCAAGTACCAGTCAGATATCGACAGTTAATTCCTCCTCCATGAAGTCGTCTCTGACAAGCCCATCCTGAACAGCTACCTTTTCTGAACTCCCTAACTCCCAGCCATTCTTGTCCCTTACCATTCATTTCAGAACTTACCTACACACAATTCTGCATCAATACTTCAAGTGTTTTTCTCTCCTATTAAACTAATCATTTGAAGAGATAGTAAATGGTGTCTTATTTCTAGGGTATTATCACAATGAAGATCAGACTTAATAAGAAAAATAACTAAGAACAGGGTCCTTAGCTTTGGTTTTGCTCAAGAGCTCAGCCCTAAACATCTGTTTTGTAGCGTAATGTGTAGCTGGTATAGTACTGACTGTCAAACCATTTCTTAACAGTGAATCCTCTCAACAAATAAAACCAATAAATAATACTGCTAAAAGATCAGCTTTGATTAAAATGTGAGGTCTGAGAGTACCAGCATGATGTCTACATGCAACTGTTATCCCCTGGGACACCTACAAGTTACTCTAATCTATCTGGAACTAGTTTGAAAACCTATGGAATAGTAAGTAGAGCACTGACAGGAGATCCCAACTCTGACACTGACAAGGCTACCTAATTAATATGACTTGTCCCCTCCATTTGCTCTCCAAAAGGCCCTCTAGTTGTTATTCTGTAGACAGGAAAGTCCCAGGCAATGTCCTGAACACAGGGGAAGAATTTTTTAAAACCAGAGTTCCTAGGCAATGCTCATACCAAGAGTGCACAACTTGCTAGAGCCACATTATTTTTCCTTTTTCCTTTAATAAGTATCAAACTTCTAAAAGCAAAGCTAAAATAATGCCTAGAGCAATTACAAGAGAACCTGGGACAAAGGGGCATTCTAAGTGCCTTGTTAAAATTCTGTAAAGAATAGTCCTTACAAGATGCTTCCTTATATGCATCATCAATCAGAAATGATTGTACAAAAATTCTATCAACATTAGGACTCATCTTTTTGTTGCTTACATAAATCCAGACCAGTAATGGGCTTAGTGTAGGCACTTGAATCAGTAGTGAATTAGAATTTTTCAGCATTCGGCACCAAAAGAAACAAGTCAGTAAGCCTGAGACAAGTGAAAACAGAAGTTGCCATAGTAACTTGCACATTTACCCTAAAAAGGCAGGAATAGGGGTAGGGTGGGGAAGTAGGTCAATATTTCTCTTAACTAGCTCTAGTTCTTGGCTTCTTCTCCTCATCTAAAAGATCATCCTTTTCTCTCCCCACTCCCAACGAAGGCAAGAGGAGGAAAGTCAGGTAACAGTCACCCCTTCGAAAAGCAAGGGGTGGGGAGAGGTCCAGGTAGAGAAAAGGAGAACAGGGAGGACAGCCCACCAAGAGCCTCATGAGTACCCTGGGACTACCCCTGGGAAAACAGTTGTTGGTGAAGGGCACTAGTGCTAAGAAACTGTTGCTGGGTTACCACAAATCAGAAATTCCCATTTTCCCTGTAGTAGTTTAAGTGCATGTAATGGAACACTTGGGAATGCATTATTAACAGCTTTGGATTGGCATAGTGGTGGGGAGGAATGAGTACTCTGGCATGGGATAAATCTGAGGCTCTTAGCAAGAGGCATTCTTTGATGGCTGAAACTATGAACAGGGCTCAAGGATGACCTAAAAGACAGACAGGGAGGGAAGAAGGCTTAGAAGATTCTTTTTTAAAATAAGCTGATTTTGTTAACACAGAAACAAAGTGCCCTTTGATACTTTGATCTGAAATAACCACTAATCCAAGAGGGCAAGGGCAACTCTGGTCTCTGAGATGGTATGGAGAGGGCCAGAGATCATCATCAGCTCTTCTTCCTGCAGTGCCAACAAATGTGGGAAGCAGATTAAACAAAACACACTTGGAAACAGGGGCACTTCCATCTCTGTACAACTATTAGTGTCTGCACAGGAATAACCTAGGACATTACTAATGATTTTAACCATCTAGTGTGAAAGCCTTGGTATTCTAGATGACAAAAAAAAGTGAGAGGTCAAAAAAGCAGAAACATCTTTTTAACCAGTCAATATTTCAAACTCTAACTTTTACATACCATACAGCATTCATCGTACAGAGGTGGGTCTAGGCTTACATGGGACAGGTCATTCAAACTTGACTGGGAAACTTACTTCAATCCAGTAGCATATCTAGTTGCAGAGAATAGCAAGGACAGGTTTCAAATTTGAGCTCATGTACTCAGAAATATCTGCAAATTCTCCCTTTGTACTTCTGCACATGTGTCTACTCCTCTGTCCTTAGAGGAGGGCAAGAGGCTCAAAGACACAGTAACATTTAAGATGACTTTAGAGACCAAGAGTAGCCAAGACCTTGGGAGAGGACCACCAAGAACAAGGACAAGGGATATTATATGGACAAAGACAGGAGATATTGTATGGATAGAGGATTAGAGACCTGAAGAACCAAGTACTAGGCCTCCATCAATACTATGGACAGAAGAAGCACATGCCATGCAATGGGTGCATAAACTTAAGGCTGGAGGATCCAGGCAACAATAAGTCAATCACTCGTGCAAGAACAAATGCTATTTTATTACTCTCTCTCAGTACAGCCCAGAAAATTTATTCAGTCTCACCAGTTCATAAGCATTTTTTCCTTTACATATAGTAGCACAGAGAGCAAGAAGTTTGTGAAACAAATCATTTTTTAAAATGTTCTATTACAGAAAATTTGAAGCTCAAGCATACACAAAGTAGAGACGAGAAGATAAAGACCTATCATCCAGCTTCAAAACTGATCAATAATCTAGGGCTAATATTAAAGTCAAGATAGGGATTATTCTAGTGAAGAGTTCTAAATGTTACAAAAGCCTGCAACCCAATATGGCCATTTCTATATTGACTCAGGAACCCAAGGAGATAGCTACTCTGGGAAAGCAGCAGTAGCAAAGGAAAATAAACAATTTCCATTTCAATTCTTGAGAAGTGTCCAACAGAATAATTAAACCCTCAAGTATTTCCACAGAAGTTGTATTACCTGAATATTTAATTCCTAAAAAATACATTTCCAATTCATTTATGTTTGCTAAGCAAGAATCACTGTGTTGCTCCGACCCATGAGAAAGGCTCCACATCACCAGAGTCAGCCTTCCAGGACTGTGTCTTGTTTATAATCACTTTCTATTTTGACATAAGCATTTGGGGCAAACTTCAGGAAAACAAGATAGTACAGATTTAGTTCATTTATGACCTATTAAAACTCGCCATGTGCTGGCATTTGGAAAAACAGAAGCAAGATATCTACTTACTGGTACTGTTACATCATCGTAAAAACTCCAAGCTAAAGCCCATCTCATTGTCCGACCTTGACAGAATTCAGTGTAGGTGACTTTAGGAACCTGAAACCAACAACATAGCATCTCACCAAAATGTAGTCATTCTACCAGTGTTTCTGGCTGCTGCCTCATGTTAAATCATGTGTTGGTCTTTCTTTTTATCAGTTAACAAACACTACTATCCAACAACAGTTATGCATAGATGCCTAATAATAAATAGATTATATAAAAACAAAGTTGTGGGGTTTTTTCCCCCCCATAAAACATTAGAGAGAAAATTTATGGTTCTGGCTTGGAAGTGCAAATATATCAAACACCCAAAAAACAGCTCTTCAGAGAATTATTGGTAAAATGATTAGAATTTTTTTTTTTTTAAAAGAAAGCAAGCCACCAAAGTCCAGCTAGACACAGCGATGTAGTCTCCCTTTTATCTATCAGATTTTGGAAAGAAAATTAAACACTACATTGTAACTGTTATAATTTTAATATAGAAAAGGTGTGGTAGAAAAAATAAGATGAGTAGAATGTCAGAAAGTAACCAAAACTTGGTTTCTACCACTGACCCCACATCTGATCTCTTTCTCTGAAAAGTCACCCTGTTCATGCTTACTCAGGCCAAAACACCAGAAACTGGGAGGAGAGACAGGGGTAGTATTTATTTGTCATCTGCTTTTCAAAACAGAAGCAAGGAGCTGATGCACCATAAGGGGAAGCACAGTGGACTGAGGATCATTCTGGTTCTAGCTGTTCTTTGATAACCAGATGTGTGACCTGGAACAAGCCCCCTAACTTATGTAGCCTTGAGTTTCCGCAGTTAAAAGGAGTCAGGTGTGGGGTCAGTGGTATGCAGACGCCAGGTTTTTTGATTTCTGGTTTCTCTGATATTCTACTTAACCTGTTTTCCCACTCTTTTTTCTGTTATAAGTAATTATCAAAGGAGACCAAATATTTTAACAATTTATAAAAAGTTCCTTTTGTCCTTAAAATTACAAATTAAAAAAATAAATAAATAGAACCAAAAAACCCTCTCTTAGAGTTTTAAGTTATAAAGGAAAATTCTGTACTCCAACTACCATCAAAAGTAGATACACAAGAACAGTAATGATAAAGGCTTACGCCTTGTATCCGAAGTTCTTCTTTCAGAGGAGCAAGGCTGCATTTCTTTCCTAGCATACAGCTATACCACCTAGGAAAAAACAAAATCAGACAAATAAAATACTGTTTATGTAGATACATTTTTAAATTAAGCATTACTAAAGTGAACAAAATGAGAACAGTAGCAAACAAATACTGAGTTAAGTTATAAGTGACAATAACAAGAATTGTACATGTATTTAGACAAAGAACAAACCCAGCAAAGGAAAACAAGCCAAAAGCAACATAAAAAACAAAAACAAAAACCCACAAAGCCTCTCCAGTGATTCAGGGCTGTTATATATTTAGAAAGGGAGTGAAAGAGAGAGAGGTCTCACCTGTGATACTCAAATACAGGCCATTTAGCCTTAGGACAGAAATTAGTCAATAAATAACAATAAAAACATGTATACTTGAAATGAATATAATGTTGTATGTCAATTATAACTCAACTAAAAAATACAGGTGCCATATAACACCCCCTCACCATATTGAGTAATTTAAAAATCTAGCATGAACCTCTATTCTGAAACGCCCCTACCTGCAAATAATTAAGGATATATATTATACTAGAGTTTCAATAGAACATGAAATCAATTTCTTTTATAGTAAATACAAATCGGAATGTGGAGAAAATGGAGTGAACTGGTTAAAACGTAAAAGGACAAAATTTATTTCTTCTGATTATTCTAAAAAGTTTGTAAAGTATAAAATTTATATAGCATTTCTCATCAATCTATGAAGGATTAACTACTATGGGAATTGCTTTTCTACCATAAACAAGTAGGAAACTGGGCAAAATATATGAAACAGTTGTTTTTCAGACGTTGGACAACTGCAGTGAAAATCTACAATCTCAGAGAGAAAAACAATGTGTGAGTCCTACAACTGCCAGAGCTTATTGCTTGAAGGAAATTTCCAAGCTGCAATGCAGGGAAAGGAAACTCAAAGGGAGCCTAACAATCTTGCTAAATTCATGAGATAGATATTGAGATTCAGAGAGGCCGAGGCAGTAAAGATTTGAATAGCAAAATACAAGAGAAGGAGCTGCACAGAGAGAAAATTCTGGGTATCTGCAGATGAGTTCCTTGGAATATTTTGCAGAATAATGATCTGCACATGTGGAGTGAAACTCAGTGAGGCTAGGAAAAGAAATCACATAAAACAGTAAGCTGAACAATCCTGGAGTCCAGAGAGAGCTGGGACTAGTTTGTGTTTCTACTAGTGAGAGCAGAAACCCCTTGTTAATAAAAGGAATATCTAGTAGAGTTCTGGAAAGAATACTTTGTAATGGGGCTAGAGGCTATGCTATATGTACTCTAATGAAGCTTAAAAGCCAAGATTCAAAAGGATCAAACTGATCACAAGTAACTTAAGCATCAGAACAAAGTCCAACACTCTTTTTAAAGAAATACAATGAAACACAGCACCCCGAAACGTTAAGATTTGCAATGTCTACCATCTAATAAAAATTTAACAGACATTAAAAGAAGCAAAAAAATGACTCACAACCAGAATTAAAAAATCAATCATTAGGAGTTCCAGTCAAGATGGTGGAGTAGGTAAATGCTGTGCTTGCCTCCTCTCACTATATAAAAATTACAACTAAACTACAGAACAGCCATCATTGGGAGTCACCTGAAGTCTAGCTGGACAGAAGTCCTACAACTGGGGACACATAGAAAAGGTTACCTTGAGACTGGTAGAAGGGGCAGAGACGCGAAACAAGCTAGTCCGGCACTCATGTGTGGCAGTTGAGAATCGGAAGAAATATCTCAGTTACGGAGATCTCCCTGGAAAAACAAGGAGTCCTGATCCCACATTGGGTTCCCTAGCCCAGGAGTCCAGTGCCAGAAAGAGAAGTCCCCACTTCTGGCTGTGAAAACCAGCAGAGATTGTACTGAGTGAAATGAAGAGCCTCTGGAATCACAAACATTCCTCCTAAAGGGCTTGTGTGCAAATTTACTTGCTGACTAACTCACTCTCTTTGAGCTCCAGGGCTGAGGCAGTAGCTCAGGAGGTGCCAGGTACATACAGGGAAGAACTGAGTTGTCCAGCTTTGGAGAAGGGCTGGAGAGGGAGCTTCTTCTGGACAGAAGCACTGGCAGAGGGCATTGTTCCTTTGTTGAGCCCACCCCACCCAGATTACAGATGCAGGCAGCCACCATATCTGAATCTCCATCAACCAGGATAATACTGGTCACCCCACCCTGGTGATTCCCTGAGACCCCACTCCACTCAACCTGCAGGCCGACCCAAGCTGCTTCCAGTGGAATTTCCATACAAACAGCCTGTCTTGGCTCATGCTTCAGACTTTTCCAAAATCTCTCAAAGATTCACAAAACCTAAATAAGCAGCATATGGCCTTGACGTGCTCCATACCTCTTGCTGAGCAGCTCCAAGCCTAGCACTAGTGGCAGCTGGCCTCAGTTTGCAGCTTGGCCTCTCGAGGCACATCCAAGCCCAGAGTGGGTGGTGGCCATCTGTGGATCACTTGGTGGCTCATGCCAGGTGGCCCCAGTAGGGCGCAGGCTGCAGCTAAACTTGCCTTGTAGCAAGGCCCCTCCCAGGAGGCCCTGAACTGGATCAATCTGAGCCGGAGCACCACCTAGGGTCATATCTGAAGACCACACACCCAAAGGGCAGACAGAGCAGGCACCAGAGCTCTACTAAAGCAAATCCTGCTCTGTAGGGTCAACCCCTGAACAACAGCTCCTCTACCGATCACGCCCAGTCCTCCCACTGACATGCAAACAGGAACCTAGGCTCAACTACAACAGGAGAGCACACACAACCCATACAAAGGACACAAGTGGAACACCAGCTCAGGTGACCAGGAAACACTATGCCACTGGGCCCCATGACACAACTAATATATAAGGCCACTCTACTAAGACTGGGAGACATAGCAGCATAGAAACAAACACAGAGAGGCAGGAAAAATGGGGAGACAAAGAAACATGTCCCAAATGAAAAAAAAAACAAAGCTCCAGAAGAAGAACTAAACATAATGGAGATAAGCAATTTACCTGAAGCAGAGTTCAAAACACTGGTTATAAGGATACTAAATGAACTTTGATCTCAGTGAAGATTTCAACACAAAGATAGTGAGCATCAAAAAAGGACATGGAAACCATAAAAAAAAACCAATCAGAAATGAAGACTACAAAAACTAAACTGAAATGTACTTTAGAAAGAATCAACAGTAGATTAGATGAGGCAGAGGATCGAATCAGTGACTTAAAAGATAAGGCAGCAGAAAACACCCAATCAGAACAGCAACAAGAAAAAATAATCCAAAAAAAATGAGGATAGTGTAAGGGGTCCCGGGGACTACATCAAGTGTACCAACATTTGCATCATAAGGGGTACCAGGAGAAGAGAGAGAACAAGGAACTGAAAACCTATTTCAAGAAATAATGACAAAACTTCCCTAGCCTGATGAAGGAAACAGACATACAAGCCCAAGAAGGGAAGAGAGTCCCAGATAAGATGAACCCAAAGAGGCCCACACCAAGACACATCATAATTTAAATGCCAAAGGTTAAAGACAAAGAGAGAATCTTAAAAGTAGCAAGAGAAAAGCAGTTACCCCAAGGGAGCTCCCATAAAATTGTCAGCTGATTTCCCAACAGAAACTTTGCAGGCCAGAGGGATCAGTAGGAAATATTCAAAGTGATGAAAAGCAAGGAACTACAACTAAGACTTCGCTACCCTGCAAAGCTATCATTTAGAGTCGAAGGACAGATAAAGAGCTTCCCAGACAAAAAAAAAAAGCTAAAAGAGTTCATCACCATCAAGCCAGTTATTAAAGAAAATGTTGGAGAGACTTATTTAATAAAAAAAATAAAAATAAAAAATATGAATAAAATGGTAATAATTACATATCTATCAACAATTACTTTAAATGTAAATGGATTAAATGCTCCAATCAAAAGATAGGGTGGCCGAATGGACACAAAAACAAGACTCTTACACATGCTGCCTACAAGAGACTCACTTCAGACTGAAAGACAGACCTAGTTAGAAGTAAATGGATGAAAAATGATGTTTCATGAAAACAGAAACAAACAAAAGCTGGGGTAGCAATATTTTTATCAAAATACTTTAAAACAAAGGTAACAACAAGAGAAAAGAAAGATCCAGTTACCCCACTTCTGGGTATTTATCTGAAAAAACCTAAAACACTACTTCAAAGGGACATATGAATCCATATGTTCATTGCAGCATTATTTATAAGTCAAGATACTGAGGCTTCCTGGGTGTCCATCAATGGATGGATGAATGGATAAAGAAGAGGTGGTATATATATACAATGGAATATTACTCAGCCATAAAAAAGAATGAAACCTTTCCATCTGCAACAACATGGATGGACCTAGAGGGTATTGTGCTGACTGAAGTAAGTCAGACAGAGGAAGACAGATGCCACTATTTCACTTACAAGTGGAATCTAAAGAAGAAAATAAACAAAACGGACACAAATTCATAGATACAAAGAACATTTTGATGGTTGCCAGATGAGAGGAGGTTAAGGGTTAGGTGAAAAAGGGAAAAGGATTAAGAAGTACAAATTTGTAGTTACAAAATAATCATGGGAATATAAAGTATATCATAAGGAACAGAGTTAACATTGTAATAACTATGGTGTCAGATGGGTACTAGATTTATCAGGGTGATCACTCTGTTAAATTACATAATGTTTAATCACTATGTTGCACACCTGAAACTAATATAATATTGTATTCCAACTGTTATAAAAAAACATTTTTTTTAATCTTAAAAAAAATCAATCATTAGAAACAGACCAAGACTTACTTAACTTGGCATTAATACCCTGTAGGTTCATCCATGGTATAGCAAATGGCAAGATTTCATTTTTTTTCATTTTTATTTTTCAATTAGAGTTGACATTTAATATTACTTCATACTAGTTTCAGGTATACAACATAGTGGTTAGACATTTATATAATTTACAAAGTGATCCCCCAATTAGTACCCACCTGGCACTATATACAGTTATTACAATATTACTGACTATATTCCCTATGC